CACCATCCCCCTCACTTTACCGCCTTTTACCCCCTCCCCTAATCCCGCGTGGTTGACCTTTTTGGAAGCTTTTGATCGACTCTAGGGATATCTTACCAACTCAGGCTGCGCTCCACACAGCAATAATTCTTTGTCACGATGAAGAAAACACCAATTTTTAGTACAGGGGTGTTTTCGTGGGTTTTCTCGTTACCGTGACGAGAAAACCCTAATCATGTGACGAAAAAACCTATGACGACACCCCTGTACTAAAAATTAGCCATATTATTTTCGTCATCGTGACAAAAAAAAATTACAGTGTTTTTAAACGATTTCAACTCCGTGTGTTTCACACGCACACCTATTGCGTACGCGTGTACACGTGTTGGATCTCAAGTTTCCCACTGGTCTCACTCAATTTCTTTCATGGGAGACACTTGCAAGTAGTATTCATCTTTCGATGAATGCCCTTATGAGTAATGTTTGTTAGGTTTCTGCATGTACCAGTTTGTTTATTTCGGCGTTTGTGATTGCGTAGGGTTTTAAAATACAACAAACTGTTTGCGTTTTTGATTAACTCTTTGCTTTTGTTCCTTTCCGAACAGAGTGGCGAAGGAGTGGTGTTGTCGTGGCGGCGGCGGCGGCGGTGCAGTGGCTGTGCCTCTCGGCGCTGCTCGGAGGCGCGCTCGGCCTGGTGCTGAGCGCCGCCCCCCAGCGCCGTGGGCCCCCGCGCTCCACCGCGCTGCCCCCGGTGCCGTCGCCCCCGCCCCCGGCCCCCTACGCCCCCGGCCCGGCCACGCCCGTGTACTCGGTGTCTGTGAGCGGCGTGGTTCCAGGCTGGGCCAACAAGTCTCTGCACAAGGTAAGACGCCCGTAGCGGAACACCGCGCAGGTCATTTCTCCCCGTAAAAGACTCCCTTGAGTGACCGACTTTTATTTTTACGGCCCGAGCTGAGTACACACTTTCTCCCAAGGTAACAAACAGTTACTGGGAACGGGAAGAGACTTTTTTTGTCCCAAGATAGGCCTATCCGGACGCGATTTCGCGCTTGGTACAATATTTTTACATTCATCTGCTCTAAATTGCGTTCTTCCTTGGAAGGAAACAACCGCTTCCCATTAAGTGTGCAAGCTTGTGATGTCGAGGCCTATTTTAGAAAAAATGCAATCTGTGGCTACAGATTCCGGTTTTCCGTGCAGGGAGTCGCTTGGCCTGCAGCACGAGTGTTTGGCCTGTTTCAGGTGCACGTCGGCGTCGTGCTGCCGCACTCTACGTTTCGCGCCCGCCACTACCGCCACACGCTGGTCACGACGCTCACGGCCCTGGCCAAGACCAAGCCCGGCCTCGCCTCCGGGATCCTGGGGCAGACGCACGACATCGAGGCCACCGTGGTGACCGTCAGCCACAAGCCCAGTCCGACCAGTGAGTAGTGCAACGTATGGGGAGTGAGAGTTGAGCGAGGCCGAGAGAAGGGAGGATCCACGGTAAAAATAGTTTTTTGTGTTCCAAGACCTGGCCTTGGGTGCCATTAGCGTTCTCCATAAGGTCCAAGACCGGGTTTCGGATGGAATACAAGAGACATTTTTTACCGTGTTAAGAAAAAGTGAAATGAATGTGGGACAAACATTCCCTTCAGAAGTCAGCCTGCGAAACGGCTCAAACGCGACTCCTGTCGGGGCAGGATACAGGAACAAAGGGCCCAGAGTCAACACACTCTCGATGCAAATACTACATCATCTCCGGCATGCTTCCGAAGGTCATCCTCTCCCTCTCCCACCCCTTTTCTTTCAGTCAGTTAGCCCCGGAAATACGATGCCGAGGAAAAGCAGACGACGCGGAAGCGTGTTGCCCGTTTTCCCAGTAAGAGGCAAGCCAGGCAAAAGCCTATCGCCGGCGGGCGCGGCCCAGCTAGCCTGGCGAGGCGTGGCGTGGCTCGGCGAAGCGCGTCTAGTCGCTGCCAGGGGCCCCAAATCTCTCAGAATATTAGCGTCACAGCCCCGGGGTACACAGTGTCGCGGGGGCGGGAGTGGGTGGCGGCGGGAGGAAGAGAAGGAGGACGTGGTCGCCTTGGTGACGCCCACACCACCCGCCCCACCCGGCCCAGGGTGCCGAGCGCCGCCGAGCGCTACCAACAGCTCGCCGGTCTTCTCCAGCGAGCCCAGGCCCGGCGGCCTGGCCCCGCCGCCCGCCTTCAAGGCACGAAGATCGCAGGCAGCTCACGCGCCGTAGGATGGCGAAGTGGGGCAGGGCGGGGCGGGCGGCGGGCGGCCGAATATGACTCCCCCCATGATGCCCATATGATGACGGCTGACGGCAAGGCCATAGCGTCATTGTGGTGAACCACTCCAACCCGCTCCATCCCCCTCCAGTCCGCTCCAGCCCCCGTCCCCCTCCCTCCCACCTCCCCTCAGCTTACACCAGCCCGCTGTGGGTGTGGCTGCCGCTGCAGCGCCTCCTGGAGGAGATCGACCACTGGAGAACGTGGATTGCAACGGCCTGCCGTCGAGGTCCAGCCGCGATGTCGCGCGCGATCCTATGATAAAAACGGACGGGGGCAATTACGCGGCCGAGTTGTGTAATTTTTCATTCGACGGCGCGACGTTATCGCAAACGTCACGTTGCCTCCTCGGCGCGCCGCCTCCACGAGAGGAGAGGGAGAGAGACAGAGAGAGAGAAAAATAAATCGGAGACGGACATCGATGTCGTGGTGGTATTACGGGCCGAATGAGACGAGGGGCGCGTAGGCGCGCTTCCGGGTCGGGTCGGGTCTGGTCGCACGTGCGCGTGTACGGACGAGGACGTGACTGGCAGGTTTGTGGTGCCCGTGTCTCCCCTCGCGTAGGACGAGGACGGTGCCGGGCAGCAAGGCTAGACATGATCCGATCGGGATTAGCATGGCAGGGGAGAATCTACATGGGGAGGCTATGCCGTTCAGAGAGGCGGAAGGTTTGATAGAACTCACGGGTAGGCTATACAAGAAGAAGAGGAAAGCAGTGCGTGTTTGTGGTGAGGATGAAGAAAATAAAAAGGAGGGGGGCTTCTTTGCGGCCGGCTCTGGAGTGGCGCCGCTTTTGTCCCCCCGGGGCCGTGGACAAGTCATTAGGGGGCAGAAAGCCCCCCCCCCCCCCCTCCTGGCTTTGACGTGTCGTCGGCACACCGCGCACTGCTTATTTTCCCAGATAACCCGCCGCGCCTGCTACTGCTGCCACTCCCGCTGCTGGACGCGCGGCGGCGTGCGAATCCGAACGGCCAGGGGCGCGGCCGAAGCTTTCCCGCTAACGAATTGGATTAGGCACAATGGCGATCGGGCGTGGTGTTGTCGGGGCGGCAGGGGTCCCCCCGCAGGGTCCCCCCGCAGGGTCCCCCGAGGGGGTCGGGGGTCACGGCACGGGGGCCGGGCGAGCAAGCAGGGAGGTCGCAGCGGCAGCGAATTACTGGGGACAATAGCGGTCATTACGGGGAGGCGGGCGATGAGTCCCCCCGGCCTCTGCCGCTCGCGAATCGTTCGCTTATGCCCTAATGCCAGGGGCCGCAGGATAGGGATAGAGAGAGAAGAGAGAGAGAGAGAGAGAGAGAGAGAGAGAGAGAGAGAGAGAGAGAGAGGGAGAGAGATTGTAAGAGCGGGTATGACACAAGCAGCCTCTCGGCGGCATCATCATCACCATCCCCTCCTTCGCCAAGGTTGAGCCTATTCGGGGCCGGAAGGCCCTCGGGAGGGCTTGCGCAACATCAAGGAGAGGCGTTCGGTGCGTGGCGTGGCAGGGCGGGGCGGGGCGAATCGCGGGGGAGGGGCG